GAAAGAAGAAGAATCGATAAAGAAACTTGGTGGTGGAACGATGAGGTTCAAAGGGTGATTAAGGAAAAGAGTCAGGCATACAAGCAATAGCCTAAGTCGGAATCGAAAAGCGATCGACAGTTGTACCTAAAAATGAAACACGCTGCAAAAATATGTGTCAAGAAAGCGAAGCAAGCATACGAAGAGCTGTATAAGAATGGAATCTCATGATGGAGAGCGCAACATATACCGAATAGCGCGAGAGAGGGCAGAGTCCGCAAAAGATATGTAACTCTTCTACTATGTGAAGGATAAACTTGGAAAAACGTTAAGAAGACCACAGGAAATAACTGAGAGATGGCGAACGTACTTCGAAGAGATGTCGTCTACTACCAGCATTGGCACAACCATCTCACCAACTGACCCTGTGAAAGACCAGTGCCATTCATAATAGCAGAGGAAGTATGGTTTGCTCAAAGACAAAGAACGGCAAGGCTTCTGGTCCAGATGACCAGGCGAATTCTGAAAATAATGCGGATGGCTCAGTGCGTCATGGCTTGCAGTCCTCTTCAATCACACCATTAAAGCTAAGAGCATGCCCTATGATTGGTCAAAGAGCACCACGATTACGCTTGTTCAACGTATCGGAAATTCCGGCTGATGAGCCACACTTTAAAGATCTTCGAAAGAGTTCTTGAAACACGACTTCGAGCGATCATAGAGTTGCCATCCAATTAGTGCGGATTTGTAAAGGGTGCCGGTACTGGTGATGCCATCCATACTGTACGGATAGTGATGAAGAAATATAGAAAAAGTGAAGAGAGCTGCATGCGGCTTTCCTTAATATGGAGAAAGCTCTCGACAAAGTACCCCATAATGTCATATGGTGGGCACTGCGAAAGCACATGGTTCCAAAAGTACACATCCAATGGATAAAAATGATTTATCACGGAGCCACGAGCCATGTGCAAACCGCGGCAGGACAGTCAAAAACCATTCCGCATAACGACCGGCGTGCATCAGAGATCGGTCCTCTCTCCTCTACTCTTCATCACAGTCATGGATGCAGTGACGGCGGGTCTCAAACGACAGTCTCCATGGGCTCTCCTGTATGCAGACGATGTGGTGTTAAAACAGAAAACAGAAAAGAACTTTGAGAAGAAACAAGGAGATGGAAGGACCGATTAGGGTTGTATGGCTTGAAGCTCAACACAAAGAAGACAGGATATGGAAGTGGGAGGTCAAACTTCAGAAACCATATACATCGATGAGAAGCCAATCATGAAAGCGAGTACCTTGAAGTACCTGGGAAGTTGCATCTCTGGCGAAGGTCTTCAAGATGAGATATCTGCCAGGTCAAGCGCATCCTGGATGAAATGGAGAACCTTCACAGGAGCGACAAGCAATGCCAGTGCAACTCATATCCCAAATATACCGTACTGTGATCCGTCCCACAGCGCTGTATGGCAGCGAATGTTGGCCCGGGCCCGAAATGAAGAACATAAGCTTAGCGTCATGGAAACAAGAATGCTGCGGTGGACATTGGGTATCACCCTGCTAGATCATGTCTGTAATGACGCAGTTCGTGCAAGGATGAAATTTGCTCCCATCGTTAAGAAAATGCAGGAAAAGCGACGATGGTACGGGCATGTGAGTAGAAGAGATGAAAAACATCACAAGAATTGCTCTGGAGGTCGCTGGAAGAATACCACGGGGAAGACCAGAGATTAGGTGGACGGAAAGAATCAGAGCCGAAC